CAATAGTTTTTAATGTGCGTCTATTACTATAAACACAATATTACGCAGTTTATTTATTAATGTTGTTTAATTTTAAAAGTTTAATGAATTACAAATTTGATCCATGAATTGAATTGTAACATTGTTAAATTTTTTTAATTTGCAAACAAGTCCCTGTGAATTATCTAATTTACAAAATCAAGCCCCCCAAATTTTAAAACCCCCCAAATTCCAAAACCGAGACCTGCGCCTCTTGCCTTTCAACCGAACCCCGCCGCAGCTCCTCATGTACGCGGTCGTCGGTATGTGCTGATGACCAGCGGGTCGATTCTGACGACGGCTGTCTGAATCGAGATGCAACCCTGATTTTCTCAGCCACCTCACAATACTTAGATTTTGTCAAGCCACGGCACGACAATCGGTGGACGGGAAGAAGTTATAAGAACCTGTCAGTGCGCGAAAAGGTCGACGACGATTGTCGTCGGCTTCCTTCCGCCATCGATCTGGTTTGTCATGTCGGCGCTGCTCGAGGGCAGGGAGTGGGTGAGGTGAACGAGATGAACGTTTTGATCTTGACAGGTCGTGGTATCATCAAAGCAGGCCGGCATGAGGAGGGCGCGACCGACGTCGGGAGAAAATGCAGAGAGGATACCGGACTGAGTGGTGGAGATGGGCTGTCGGTGCGAGAGAAACAAATAGATGGTGCGATAGTGTCGGTGTGCACTCGCCTGTCGTGTGAATAGTGTATGTTGTGTGTGTTTATGTGTGAGATAAAATGAGGGTTAGTGGTAGTGGTGGTGGTGGTGGTGGTAGGGCACACATGTGGTATGTAGATGAGTGTGTGAGTGAGTAATTACCACATTGCCCTTACTTAGTGCTCAAATATGAAAATTTGACCACAAATTGTATACCAATTTATGGAATTACTGCATATTTGACTGCATTTTTAAAAATTGACTTGATCATGATTATTGATATGTTGAATCCAATTGTCCAGAATTATTCTTATTTATTTTACTATCTATCGTTCTCATATAATCTCATCTATATATAGAAAAATACTACTGTCCCATTAGGGAATATATTATCTTTGTTGGGATGGCTACAGTCTCGTTACAGAATCATTCCGTTGGGATTTTTAACCGTTAGATGCACATGTTACACTAATCTACATAAGCATCTAACAGTTAAAAATCTCAATGCACATGTTACACTAATCTACATAAGCATCTAACAATTAAAAATCTCAACGGAATGGTTCCGGTAACATTTTCCATCTTTTGTAGTATACTAGTTTAAAAATATATAAAAACCAAAAACACCAAAATTAAATTCCGAATTTGTCCCTCTGCCCACCCACTCCCTCACATACTTCCAATCTTTATATGTCGCGACACCACAGTACAGTACAGAGACTATCAGAGACAGAAACCACTGCTTAACAATTAATCCTAACCTCTGCCAAAAACAGTGCCAATTATGATTTCCACCACCACCAAAACCTCCTCCAACGGCGAGGCTCCGCCGGAGGAGAGATGCTCCGTCGAGGAGGTGGCCCTGGTGGTGCCGGAGACTGACGACCCGACCCTCCCCGTCATGACCTTCCGCGTGTGGGTCCTCGGCCTTGCCTCCTGCACGATTTTGATCTTCCTCAACACCTTCTTCATCTACAGGACGCAGCCGCTCGCCATCTCCGCCATCCTCATGCAGATAGCAGTGCTTCCAGTCGGGAAGTTCATGGCGGCGACGCTGCCGGAGAGGGAGTTCACGGTGTTCGGACGGTGGAGGTTCAGCCTCAACCCGGGCCCATTTAATGTCAAGGAGCACGTGATTGTCACGGTCATGGCCAATTGCGGGGTGTCGTATGGCGGCGGCGATGCCTACTCTATAGGCGCCATTACCGTGATGAAGGCTTATTATAAGCAGAGCTTGAACTTCCTCTGCGCTCTGTTAATTGTCTTGACCACTCAGGTATTTTGATTTTTTTTTGTTTCTTTTCGTCCTATGCTATGAAATCTCGAAGTTTTCTTCCCAATTCTCCAGGAATTTTGTTCTCAATCTTTTGTGTGTGTCTGTGTGTGAGTGACTAGTGAGTGAGCAAAGATCCAATTTTTCTCTTTATAGTTTTTGCCCTCCAAGGTTTGGACTTGGATTTTGGAAGAATAAGAAAAAGTTTCACTTTTTCCACTTCAAAAACAAAGAATTTTGGAGAATGGTTTGTATTTTGTGTCTCGTTTCTTATACATTGCATGACATCTGTGTTGAATTATAAATGTGCTTTTTCTTGTCCAGTTGGATTGCATAGTTCGATTTTTTAAGAAATTCAGCTTTTCAGGAAAATCTGATGGCATTTTTCTTGATACTGTTAACTAGGCCTTGTATCCGAGCTAGCTTAAAATTATAAGCACCAAAAATTGAACTAAGAACATAAAAGATCGATAAATTATAGCTGTGGTGATTGTGCTTCACTCAGGGCATTTTTGTTGTGAATTCAGATATTGGGGTATGGATGGGCCGGGATGTTGAGGAAGTACTTGGTGGATCCAGTTGAGATGTGGTGGCCTTCCAACCTTGCTCAAGTTTCTTTGTTCAGGTCCATATTTTACCTTCTTTCTTCTCTTTATTAGTTATACTGAAGATTGCACTTGTCATCACTCAAGTATTTTACACAAAATGTAACCTTCAATTGCCATTTCCAGCGCCATTTATGTGAAACTAGTCTGTAGATACTGCAAGATTTTTGTGTCTGAAAGTTTTCAATTGGATCAAGGTAACCACTGAAGTGAATTTTTCTTTTATTCTTTTTGTTTGTTAGAGTTTTCAAACGAAACTAGTTTATGCACTGTGTTTGAACAAAGATAGGATCCTCAGATAGAAACTGGTTTGTTCACTGTATTTGAACAAAGATGAGATGCTAAGATTGCCTTTTTTCCACAGAACAATATCAGGATAATGACTTCTCTTATAAAATGGAAGATAAATTATTAGTGGAGGACAGGCTGAATTTTCCTTTTTATTGAATGGATGTAATTTGCGCGGTCCTCTTCAAGTTATATTCTGAAAATAACATTTGAATTGACATTATTCTCTGTATACTAGTCAACATCTAGACCATAACATCTTCTGTATATTAAAAAATATAATTATAGGTGATGTGTTTTTTTTGTTTTCTTCACAGGGCACTTCATGAAAAGGAACACAAGTCACAAGGCATGGCAAGGATGAAATTTTTCCTGATATGCATGACAGCAAGTTTTATCTACTACTTATTCCCTGGATACCTATTCCAGATTTTGACCTTCTTTTCTTGGGTATGTTGGGTTTGGCCCCACAGCATCACGGCCCAGCAAATTGGTTCTGGATATCATGGACTGGGAGTGGGTGCCTTTACTCTTGATTGGGCCGGAATCTCGGCATACCATGGAAGCCCATTAGTCACTCCCTTTTCATCCATTCTGAATGTCATGGTTGGATTTATCATGTTTATATACATCATAGTTCCAATTTGTTATTGGAGGTTCAATACGTTTGATGCCCATAAATTCCCCATTTTCTCAAATCAACTTTTCACTTCAAGTGGACACAAATATGATACTACTAAGATCTTGACCCCACATTATGATCTCAACATTTCTGCTTATGAAAGATATAGCAAGCTGTACCTTAGCCCGTTATTCGCACTCTCGATTGGATCGGGATTCGCAAGATTTACAGCGACACTCACACATGTCGCGTTGTTTAACGGCAGGTTAGCTACATTGAACTTTTCATTAGTTAAACAATATAACTTTCTGTTGAACTCCCAGTAAAAAGGTAAAAAATTTGATTTTTATTTGTTTCTTTTGGTCAGTGATATCTGGAAGCAAAGTAGATCTGCTGTGAAGAACATGAAATTAGACGTACATGCAAAGCTGATGCAAAGCTACAAACAAGTGCCTCAATGGTGGTTTCTCGTTTTACTGTTAGGCAGCATAGTTTTGTCTCTGATGATGTCGTTTGTGTGGAAAGAGGACGTGCAGCTTCCATGGTGGGGAATGCTCTTTGCATTTGCTTTGGCTTGGATTGTAACACTTCCTATTGGGGTCATTCAAGCCACTACAAACCAGGTATAATCTATAAACCTTGTCAATGTTTGTTGTTTACTTATGTTACAATATTTGACCTCTGCCTGATTATATTCGAACTAATGTGAACTTTTGACATATTTGTTGCTTGTTGTGCAGCAACCTGGATACGACATAATTGCACAGTTCATTATTGGATATATCCTTCCAGGAAAACCCATTGCAAATCTGCTTTTCAAAATTTACGGTCGGATAAGTACCATTCACGCGCTTTCTTTCCTAGCTGACCTTAAACTAGGCCACTACATGAAAATCCCACCACGAAGCATGTTCATGGCCCAGGTAAGTATTTTGCACTTCTTGTCAATATCTGAAGAAATAATAATGTCAGAAGCTACCCTTGATTTGTGATCACGAATAATAACTCCACACTTGATCAAGGCTTGTAAAAATAGAACAAAATATGTAATGGAGCCTCTATAATATAGTTTTTGGGCTAAAATCCATGGATAGATTCAATTTTTTGTAACCACACTTGATCTTCAAAAACTTTTAATTCAAAACTTGACTTTTTGCGATGAAAATATGTTTTTCACATTAAAGGTTGGTGTTGTGTTCGAAACCAAGGTTTTTGGGACACATTGACTTATTTTTCTATTTTGGTCTCTATTTACAATTTTTCATAGTTTTTTTTAAATCACATTATCATAATGAAATTTTTCTCAATCTCAACATTTTTCTTATTTCTAGCTTGTGGGAACACTAGTTTCTGGCACGGTCAACCTTGGCGTAGCATGGTGGATGTTGGGAAGCATAGACAACATATGTGACGTGGAGGCATTGCATCCGGAGAGCCCATGGACTTGCCCTAAATTCCGAGTCACCTTTGATGCCTCTGTCATTTGGGGTCTAATTGGGCCCGAAAGGCTATTTGGGCCAGGTGGAATGTACCGAAACTTGGTCTGGCTATTCCTTATAGGGGCTTTCTTGCCAGTTCCGGTTTGGATACTGAGCAAAATTTACCCGGACAAAAAATGGATCCCATTGATCAATATACCCGTCATATCCTACGGTTTTGCTGGCATGCCACCGGCTACACCTACGAACATTGCCAGCTGGATCATAACCGGGACTATATTCAACTACTTTGTGTTTAAATATAAGAAGATTTGGTGGCAAAGATATAATTATGTTTTATCGGCTGCATTGGATGCCGGGACTGCTTTCATGGGTGTTCTGTTGTTTTTTGCTCTGCAAAATGAGGGCAAAAATGTAAAATGGTGGGGTTCGGAGCCGGACCATTGCCCTTTGGCTACTTGCCCGACTGCACCTGGGATTGTGGTGGAAGGGTGTCCTGTTTTCAGGTGATGAAAGAATGTGTGTTTTTTTTTTTTACTGTTGTATAATCCTGTGATTGAGAGCAAAATTGCTTCCATGCCCGTGTTGTAGAAAAGCTCGTTAAAATATTCAAGTGGCCATTTAGCTAGACGGCCTTCTGGTGTGTTGTATGTAGATCATGATCAATTGAGGAGCTAGCGCAATTTTTGCCTTTTGAAATGAATGCTCTTTTGCTTTACTATGAATCTCTAGGATAAATGACTTTGTTTTTTATTTTATTTCTGAAAAAGGGCCTATTTTTCGGAGTCTGATTAACTCCAGAAAAGAGGTACATAATTCACATTAACGATGCACATAATGCGTAAGTTGTACTGTTACAAACATAATCAAATAATGTGACAATATAATACTTTTCTAAGAATAGATGTGAATAAAATGGTTTGCCATAACTTTGGACTCATTTGGTTGGATTGATGGGATATCAGATATGACTAATATTTGGTTAGTGGGTTATAATGTAAGGATAAATTATAACTTACATTTATTAAGCGTGGTTGATGGATCCGATAGAATTATATTTAACTTTGAAACAGATGTACTTCCCTTCTATTTTTGATTGTGTGAAAAAGAGCAATGCTTTATGGTTGTGGAATTCGTGGTTGTCTTGTCTCTACTTCCTATGTTACAGAAAGGGGTGGAAATTGTGTTAAGAAATGGGGCATCAACTAGGATGAGTTAGGGACTTATCCTGTGAGGATGGAAGTAAATGGGATGAAGAAGTGGTCTGTGATTTGTTTCGGGCTGGCATAGTCGCAAAATTCTTCAAATAAAGACTCTAAACCCTGATGCAGAGGATAAATGGAGATGGTCATTTGATGTGAAAGAAAACTTTTCTGTTGCTGCTGCTTACTCTAAACTAATTGCTGAGAAGGTGTGTCAAGTGGGTGAAGCTGAGAATAGTGGAAGTGCAGAGAGTAATACAGTGGCTAGACTCATGTGCTAGAAGTTGAGGGTCAAAGGCAAAATCAAGCACTTCATCTGTAGATGTTTTACAGGTATATTACCAGTGGGTAACATTTAGAAAAAGGGAATCCAAATTGATGTAAGATGCAGGGCTTGCGGGGAGGAGGAAGAGATGGTGGAGCACATTTTCTTCACTTGCAGTCGAGCTCAGAAAACGTGGAAATTAACCGTGGGAAGAACAAATGCTCAGTCCAAGCCAACTTCAAAGAGTGGTGGTGGTGGATCAGTTTCATGGACAGTAAAGAGACATCAGTGGACAGATTCCAACTATCTGCCTACATCTCGAAACCTGTGGGTTTTTAATAAATTTGGATGCCTGAGTATATGATCCTCAAGTCTGCATTGCAAGAGTGACTCGAGTTTAATCAGGGATCAGATGTCAGGCCGTGCTACGCTAAGAACTAGACTGAAGTAGGTCTTGTGTCAGTCTTGTTTTTGCTTGTAGTTTTTTCCTACTCGTTGGATGTGATCTACCAACACTCCAGGTAGGTCAAAGGCTCCAACACTAATCAAGTAGGCGGTGACATTTATGTAATTATGAATACTTTTTTGAGTTTAATGAGGGTGCATTTTCGATATTGCACATAATACATTGTTATGTTATTGTACATTTTCATAGGTATTAAAGTGAAGTTCGTCCAACACTCTTGTGCATTCTGTAGCGTAGTGGCATTTTGGTAAATTTATGAACTTTTAAATGTATTGGTGGTGACAATTCTGTAATTTCGCAGAAATACAATGATATTTATAATATGCATATTCACACTTGATATTGTGCATTTTAGTTAACATTATTGTGTTTTTATCAAGCTTTTAATAAATTGCAGATTTACCGAAAACTTAAAACTTAAATTGTAATATATTAATTTTTTTTAAATTACAACTAAGTCCCTAGGACTAATAAAATTTTCAAATTGATGTCCTTTACCCACATCAATCCCGTCTACACCAATTTCACATTTCCACCCCTTCCCACCTAGCCTCCATCGTTCACCGCTACCGCCGCCCAACTCCACCTCGACCTTCCTCTTGCGGTCGCTGCCAGGACTCGATTCACCCGCTGAAAGGCAGCGGCCACGCCGAAGCTGGAGGGATTGGTTGCAAGCGGTCATGATGCTCCTTGGTGGCGGCGCAGGTGGACCGGACCACGTAGTGCTAGGCGCGGACATTGGCGCTGGAGTGGAATACGGCGACTCGACAACTAAGAATAGAGATGTGTTCTGAATTTTTGTGATTGGCTGTAATTTTTCATGGATTTTTCGGCAGAGAGGAGAGAGAGAGGGCGCGGTGGGGCAACGTGTAGTTGATGGAGAGATTGTCCAAAATGCCATTATTAGTGTATAATTTTGGCTTATTTAAAAAAAAAAATGGCAAGAGAAAATGTATATCGATGAAGAAAATAACGATGTAGAGGAAAAAAGGGCATGGATTTTCTACAACGAGACTATAGACCAATTTAAAGGATTAAATCTTATGACTATGCAATATTCATATTTCTTTCATTCATTGAGAACCAGTTTCACTTGAATTCATCCCCATATATAGATTTGGTTTGAGCTATAATATTGTTTACATCTTANACAAAAAAGAAAAAAGAAAAAGAAAAAAAAAAGATTAGCTTGTAGAATAATTAGGAAGGACTTCAATTGTGATTAGAAAATCATTGCATTATAAATGTTGGATAATGAAGGCACACTGAGATTCAAGAATTCCATATCATTAAACATCAAATTTTTTCAAAGCAGACTGAGATTCAAGAATTCCATATCATTAAACATCAAGTTTATTCACAAACATCTGAAGACCATTACAATGTTTTAACTCCTCCATCTCTCAATTTAACCTTCTTTCAAGATAATACCTTGAGTTTTAACATCATCAAATAACAGAATCATCAAACAAAGAGCAAAGACAGCCCCAAGAACTTGTAGATCAAAGAAAGATTTTCCTTTTCTTAATAAAAAAACCAAAATATATTTCCTCGTATGGCTGTTCACTGAGTTCAGCATGTGATTTTTCTTAATTACATTTCCTGAATAAAACTAATAACATCCTCAACAATTTTCTTTTTTTTTTTATTCCAATTTTTTCTCCAAAATTTTACCTCTGTATGGCCTTGTACAGCACCACAGTCACATATTTGGACAGATATCGGCTGGTGGACCCGAGTGCCACCACAGATGGGTAGCTCTTATCCTTATGCATATACAGATGGTTCAGCACTACATGTGAAGGCCTTGAGTAAGGTGCCCGGATTTCCATGTGAGTCGAAGCCACGTTTAACAGAGTCGAATTCAAATGCTGTGGGGCCATTGGGGGCTCTTTTGCAAAATCCTCCTGCCCGAGCTCCAAGTTGCTGTAGCTCGAGTCAGGGGACTGAGGAGGCTCGAAACCTGAAATGCTTCCGGTATCTTCCGGAACATAATCCTGCCAGATCATATTGTGCAATTTCAAACCTCAGATAGAGTATCGAAACTGAAAGATTTTCTGCACACCTTTAAACAGCCTACATGATAATCAAAATTTAAGCATACTTTGGTTTGGCAGGAAGTACAATTAAATGCATATTATACCGAAAATGGGAAAAAAAGGAATGTATACTTTGGATTTATTAAATTAAGTTTTTGCAGACACTAAAGGTAGCAAAAACACATCCAGCATAATTAAAGCAGTCTTATTAGTAAAACAGTAATTATTTAGGACATGCAAGAAAATATTGTAAACATCATGATATCCATCATCCATGAAGATCATAGCAACTAGTAAACCAATATAATCGTCCAAATTTCCAACTCTAACATAAGTATCAGTTCACTCATCCAATTGTCCAGACACAGATCATTTCAAAAACGGCCTATAGTGGCCATTAATGAACCTGTACACTCTGTAGATCTGAGTCTGATAAACTCTATACTTCAGTCTGTCACGTGTAATATAGGCACTTACACGGAATAGGAATCAAGATGTAAATACCATAATTTTACAACAATCACTGGTGGCAAAAAAAAAAATAAAAATAAAAAAAGAAAAAAAAAAAAGAAAGAAAGAGCACAAACAGTACCTGCAAGTCCAAAATGTTGTAAGCATTTCCAGTATCGTCCTTGTCATACGGCTGATCAGGTGAGTACCTCCATTCTCCATCTACGAAAAACCTAAACTGATAAACTCCAGAAGTAAGCACATTCATGATGGTGAAGTCTTTACCCGATCTCTGCAAGGGCTTCCTGCACGAGTTACATACGATCTAAACTTGAGCTCATAATATTCGAATCAATATAAAATTTACCAAATAAACTAAAAGAAAAAGGAAAGAAAACCTCGATTTCCAATTATCCCATGACCCTTCTACAAAAACTTCATTGCCACCATAGCTCCATGTGATCATAGTTGGAATACGTTTCTCATTGTTTCCATCTTCATAACCTGAGCTGGTTTTCATCCATGATATACTCGGGATTTTTAACTCATCCGGTCTTTGTAAAGGAACCACTGGCATCTGAACAGAAAAACAAAGAGTGAAATTATACTATGTCTCACTTAATTAGAGATGTGTAGATATCAAGGGATCACAGAACACTGTAAATTACATCTATGATTCGAAATAGCCCATCCACAATTAACACAATACATATGAGTCACAACAAGATACACTCCCGCAAAAGAACTAACAATCGACAAGACTTATAGAATAATTTGGATACAATCAGTACTTGAAAAAGTGTTCAAAACTGTGTAATGATCTCCAATTTAACAATAAATGCCTATCAGCACAACCGCATATAAGTCTTCTAAGATATCTTATACATTATAAGTTCACCAAAAAGACCAGAGTACTTGCAGCAAAATTTAACAGGACTCACAGTGGCAGATACAATTTAAACAAAAAATTGCAAGAAGAGAAAGTTCCCTGCGAACATAAGGAGTTTAAGTTTCACCAGCAAACCCAGCCACAAAAAACATCAGATCTAGTCTAATTATTCCCTTGTGCTACAGTAATCCATGCATAAGTACACCTAGCCCAAATGATAAAACACTTAATGTCACTGCTAAACATCATAATTTCATTCACTTGAAGCCAAAGATCCCATTTTTTCACACGACAATTAAAAAAAAAAAAAGGTTACGCCAAAGCGCACAAACCCAAGGTTACAACTAAAAGAAAGATAAATTTCCAAGAATTTTAGATGACAAGGAAGAAACAAAATTGAAGAGGATATCAACTCCACTGACCTGAGGTCTAAACATCAATGGGGACTGAGAAGCCCTGGGACTTGAAGGTGGGTACTGACCCATATACTCGGCACCAGGCGCATGATAGCTGCCGTCAGGGCCATCTCGATCGGCCATGCTAACCTGCGCATCAGCTTCAGATGGGCTATCGCCGCCACCCTCTTCCCTTCCACTGGCATTCCCCATTCTTAAACCTCACAAACAAATTAAGAAAAAAAAAAAAAACTGGAAAATAAATTCCTTATCTATCTATAGATTTTTTTCCTGCACAGAGAGTGAGTAGAAAATGGTCATCGGAGGGAAAGTGGGAGAGGAGAAAGGCGAGTATGTGAAACGGGGAACTTTAATTGATGAAGGTATAGAAATGATTGCGGAAAGAATTTCATTTTGCTCTGAATTAGCCCGGAGCATCTGATGAATCTTGATGGTTACTGGTCGGTGTTGTTTTAGTTTTTCTTGTTATAATTGGTTATTATTAGAGAAAAGTAGGTTGAAGGTTTCGGATATTTACCCATTTTGGAACTAAGTTATGATATGTTTGTGGGTGCAGTTATTTCCATCCCAAAGTCCAAACATTGCAAACACCCTCAAAATATTATGAATATGTTTGTTATAGACCTAACTGAAGCTTATAAATTAATTTTGAGTTTGTAGCTGAAAACTCAATTCAATATAAATAAAAATATTTGGCAAAATTATTTTTTAAGCTAGTTGAAAAATACATAAATAGTTAAAATAGCAACATTGATATTCAAATAATTAATATGATTGTATTGTTTCTAATATTTTGAACTTGTAGTTGAAAACTCAATTAAATATAAATAAAAATGTTTGACATCATTGTTGAGGTCAGACTATTAGGGAGCAAGCTAGCTGATTTTTCGTTAGAGCATAATCATCAGCTTCCTCTTGCTGCTAGTGATATCTTGTCTGATCCCGAGCGCTATAGCCATTTGGTCCGACGTCTTATCTATATGGCGGTGACTCGTCCTGAGCTATCCTATTCGGTGCATACGATCTCTCAATTTATGCATCAACCGCGTCAGACTCACTAGGACTCTGCTCTTCGTGTGGCTCGATATTTGAAAGGCTCTCCTGGTCAGGGCATCCATCTTCGTACTGACTGCGACTTGCAAGTCTATGCATTGTGTGATTTGGATTGGACGTCTTGCCCTCTCACTCGACGTTCTCTTTCCCTTTGGTTTATTCAGCTGGGTCAGTCTCATGTTTCTTCGCGAACCAAGAAACATCCTACTGTCGCTAGCTCTTCTGCTGAGGCTGAATATCGAGCGATGGTTACTACATTGTGTGAGCTGAAGTGGTTACAGGGTCTATTATTTACTCTTGGTATCTCTCACTACTCTCAGCCTATGCGGTTACACTGTGACAGTCAGTTTACGCTGATATTGCGGCAAATCCAGTTTTTCATGAGCACACCAAGCACATTGAGGTTGATTGCTACTTTGTTTGTAGGCGAATCCAGTTTTTTATGAGCGCACCAAGCACATTGAGGTTGATTGCTACTTTGTTCGTGATGTTGTTCTACAGTGTCTCATGTATACTGCTCATTGTCATTCATCATATTTTCATGCATTATGAGTGATATATTGTGATATTTGGCCATGGTTATCGTGTGATTGTGCACCATTTTGTTTTATTTATTAATCTATGATAGAGGTGCTTTTGTCGTTGGTTTTGCAGGAAATATGCCCGGAAAAGCGTTGGAAATGGAATCGGGACGAAAAACGGCGAGAACGGGTGCAGAAGAGGCCACACGACTCGTGTGGATGGTGACACGGGTCGTGTGAGTTGAGAAAATAACAGACGCAACTGCGGCTTTTTCACACGGGTCGTGTGGATTGAGACACGGGTCGTGTGACCAGTCGTGTGAGTCTGAAAGTTCGCCGAAATGTTGAGAAAAGTCACACGACTCGTGTGGCATGTATATAATTAATATGTACGTATATAATCGTGTTATATACTATATCAAAAAACAACATAAACCATAATCAACAAAAAANGAAAAAAAAAAAAACGTGCATATACTCTCTATATACTCAACATAAACTGATAATATAATGTCTATATAGTATATACTCAACATATACTGACCATTCAAAAGTTTCGATATATGCTCACTGCAGTACTCTCCCTACTGCTTGCAAGGTGCTCCTACCTTGCACCTCCTTCACCTATGATACAATCGTTGACCATTCAAGCCGCCGGTCCGCCTCGAGAACGAGAACTCGATCAATCACGCCTTCAGCACCGTCGGATTCCTAGCACCACTGCACACCCATCAGTCACGCTATGATTTTTCGCCATGGATATTGTGTGTGAAAAAGAGAGAGAGAGGGATGAGGAGGTGAGATAATGAAAAAGATGAGAGAGAGAGAGATAAATCTCTTACTATCGGGATGGTTTTTTAGAACTGATACATATCTTTAATTAATAAATAAAATATTCCTTACCTGATGGATAAATAATGTGGTGTATTTGCAAATAAAAGCATAATTTACTGTTATGTTGATACTATTTACATGAGGCGTGTAATTGTATAAATAAAATTGTAACTTAATGTGTATGGAGTAATTTTCTCCATATTATAACTCTTGTATGTTGGAGGGGGAAAGGCAATTGCATCCACAAAATGCCTAACGTGTACGGGTGAATATTATGATATATATATGATGAATATATTCACCTGGCTCTAGACATTCCAATTTTTAGTTAAAGTTGCGTACGGATTTCAATTTCACTTCACAATTATTCATTAAATTGGATAGTATAGAGCTACCCATCGTTTAATCATATTTTTTTTTTTTTATTTTTTTTTTCAAACATCAAATTTTACTAATCATATCTGGGAATGTACAAACACGAGCAAACCAACGGGTTGCACTTGATCCAGCCACATATCAGTTTTAGCTAGAAAGACAAGCAGGGGACCCCTGCCACATCGTTAAATCAATTTCAAAGTCATTAATTTGTGATTTGTGAAACTCCATTATAGATTTAGACATTTGAAATATCTGGTGCTTTATTATTGTAAATTAGGCTTGACCACGTATACATATATATAGATATATAAATGTTTGATTACTTTTTAAATAGTAACTATTTTCCTTTAAAAAACATCTATTTACTATTTTAAAAAATTAATTTAACAATTTATGGTATATATCAAATGATCACTTATGAAAATTGTGACTCATTATTTAAGGAAGTAATTAAGTCATATTTAAAGATACCTTGATTACTCAAATCATGTGAATTAATTAATATATGGTATAAAGTAGACGAATTTATTTTTGATATTGATGGTTGTTTCTATAGGAAATAAATTAATCAATATATAGTATAAAGTGAGCAAATTTATTTAGGTTACTTGATGACTGTTTTTTGGTAAGAAATTTGTTGAAAACTCAATCACTCCGACAAAATATTATGAACTGATATTTTGATATAATATGCATGTATCGATATTTTTTTTTTTATAGAAAAAACTCTGATTTTTTTTTCTTTTTGTATAATTAGTGAGTCTCGATTTAATTCATTTTCTATTACGACATTTCAAATAATTTTTGTATTAAATGCACTGGTCATTTTTTTAGTATGATAAGGAGTGTACTGATATTTTGAAATAATTTGCGTGTACCGATATTTTTTTTTAGAAAAAGTTCTGGTCAATTTTTTTTTTGTATAATTAGTGGGCTCGATTTAATTCATTTTCTGTTACGACATTTTAAATAATTTTTTTGTGAAATGCAATGTTCATTTTTTTAGCATGATAAAGAGTGTCGATTTTTTTGGCATATAAAATATTATGACTGGTTGTTTTTACTCAACTACTTAGATATTTTGATTTGTATATTTTATACAAAAATAAATTTATTTTAATTAATGAAACAATATAAGTTTTATATTTATACTTATTTATTCACATAGGTTTTTAAATATATGACAAACTTTTACCAAAATAATTATTTTATGGAATCACGTTATAGTCAAATTAAATTTCTGAATAAAAGTTTTAAAATGACACATATTTTGAAATAAATTAAATATAATGTAATTTATTATCAATTATGTGCAACGCACGGATTGTGTACTAATTTTAAATAGACATTTTTATGTATTTTTTCACAATTTAAATTTTATACAATATTTTCAATAAACTAATATCGTACATTGTAATATATATATATATATATATATATACATTATTGGCACACATATATATTCACCAAGACAAAGCAAGCTCATTTAGCTAGCTAGCTACTCAAATTAACCCTGCAACTCATATGTGACTACAAGCGCCATCGAACACAAGCTGCAAGAAACTCGGCACAACCCATTAATTCCTTTTATAAGATGTGGCCTTCTTTCTAATATCATGCGCGCTTGTGAGGCTTCAAATGTATGTCTTTGGTTGTATAACTACGGATGCCATCAGCGTTCGATGTTAATTTTATCGACTTATGTTTGCGCATTGAACAACAAGGACTAGTTTTCGGGAGACGAACGACTTTGATGTGGCATATTTTCTCCAAGTTTGGGATTGCGTGGAGATGTGAAGGCAGATCGATTAGGAAGTTTCCGGAATCATCCGTGCCAGTTCTAGCCCACGATTTCTTCCTTTTCCTGCTTGATCCGCATAAAACCGCTACTGTTGCACCTGTAATTTAAACAATTATGAACAGATTAATGAATGTAATTTGAACTTAAATTTCAATATGAACAATTCAATGGGCCTTCTCAATTGTAATTAAGTTTTTTTATCCAAACAAGATATATATGCATAACATGGCAATTAGGCTAACCGATGAACATGAATGAAAACATGTACAAAGATAGAAAAAAAGGCAGCAATATCAAACAGACAAATAATAAATAAAATAGGAAAGATTGCACCATTCGTCTACTAATTAGTAATTATACCCGAGTTGCACTTCCGTCTTTTAATTATTTTTTACTTTTGGTACACTATCATTTTTTTTTTGGCAATTTTCGTCTAAATCAAGGTTCCGGTGCTCATTTTTGCCGGAAAAGCGGATATGGCGCTGGAAAAGCTGATGTGGCACACAATCCGACTGAGCGCCACATCAGCTTTTCCGGAAAAAATGAGCACCGGAACTTCGATTTGGACGAAAACTGCCAAAAGTGTACCAAAAGTAAAAAAAAAATAATTAAAGAACGAAAGTACAACTCGAGTATATGTAGTGGACGAATGGTGCAATTTTTCTAATAAAATAAAATAAAAAGAGGAAAAACATGACAAACCTGATACTGGATTCGAATCTTTCTCTATATTATCACCGCCGTGGCAGATAATCTTTCCACCAATCACGACCGTCGAGAGCTTATCTTCTCCATAACCAGCCCACTTCACCATCTCATTTCTTCCAGTCGGAAACAAATCCGCCAAAAAATCCGATTTCCGAGCGGCCATGGCAGGTCTCTCCAAGAAAACAAGGACGATTATAATGAAAAAGAACATCTTGCTCTTGACGAAATCGTCAAAATACGAATACCCCATAATCTTTGTATTGGTAAGTATTTTTTCTTTCTTTTTTTCCTAACTAGCTTTGTACCAAAGGAAGAAGAGGCTGAAGGGGAAAATGAGGTTGGAACTACCACACCACCTTTTGGGGAGGTTTTAGTAATATATATATATAAGGAGCCCTTTGCATGGTTCGCATGCCCTTTTCATGTTCTTGATTTTACGGATTTAGGGTTCTACCAAATCTTTTTATTTGATGTTTACCTGTCCAACTTTAGATTATTTCTTAATTTTCATAATAATGCTTCAAAGGTAGTGAAGGTGGTGGGCTTTCCTCTCCGGGTAGCCAATTGCTATCATATATATGGACGTTACATTTCGTTAAGATTTATTTTTATACCAGTTACTTAGATATTCGTTCATAAATTAAATTAATCACATATCAGAATCACTATATATATAATTTGTATAGTTACTTGATTAAAATATATTCATAGCATATCATTTTCTAGTTCTTTGCGCATTTATTAGTTAATAAAATGATGTACAGTATATATGTTAGTGATGAATCATGGCCATCTCTAATTTTGTTTTTGAATATTATGTCATCAAGCGTTAATATACTATTTTATATTCAAAATTGGATCCACTTAAATAAATTGCGTGTCAATAATTAGTTTCTTCGTTTTTTTTCCTTCTCTTTCAGTCTTTCTTGTGTTTCATTTAAATTAGTTTGGTTAATATATGAAAGAAAATTTGGAAGTTGAGAAATTTTGAAGCTAAGCTGTGGGTTGGTAGCCTAATCTTATCTCCTATTTATTTAAGAGTTTCATAAATAATAACGAAACTGAGCCTTAAATTAAGACTCATCCACGTCATTGGACTTTGGTAAACTAGCATTAGCATTCGAGTCAATTTGTCAAGCCTTCCCCAACTATTTCCATATGCAAAATGGAGTTTAACAAGAACCTCACACATTGTCCACTTGCACAACAAGACTAAGAATACTTTGTGAAAATGCAAGTTCACTTGATTAATTTTTGCACATATCCTAATGGTGTTGAACCAACCAACCAAGTGTACCATTCTTTAATGAGTTAGTTTCATATATTACGAGATATTGACATGATTTTTAGCAAGCACGATCCCTCATATAGAAATGTTAAATGAAAAGAGCCACTTGTGAACCCAGCTCTCGAGCTCGCTTAAAGCTTGATTCATTAAACAGTCAAGTTCGACTCGGCTCGATAAGGCCTGCAAAGAGAAATTTTATTTAACTTTTTTATAGTTCTACTCGTTAAATCTCGAGATCGATCGGTTGGTTAAGGATCAAACTCGGCTAATTGATAGTTATAAATGAGTCGAGTTCGAGCTCGAGACTCGTTTACCTAATAAGTCGAGCAGAGCTCGACCTCGAGCTAGCACACCCTGAGCTCAAGATTGGCTCGACTCGCCTATAACCCCTTCCTATAGTGCAATACACTAATAGAAAAGGAAAATGACACACAATATATCAAGGTGATCAAGATTAATCTGTCTTCATGCACCAGCTGATCATCCTCGTCCTTTTCCAACTTTAGATAATACAATTAGTGAGAGACTCATCCTCTCAGATTGTTGCTACATCCTTCTTGGGCGAGACAAGTGCAACACATTCTTATCTCGTCTGATGCGGGTATGGCTAGATAAATGACTAGGATTACTTGATCTAGATCCTTCCAAGTTGTGTATAAATGTATTTATAGATCATTTTTGCTCAGGAAATATAAGTAATACAACAACATTCTTATGAAAGTCATAGCCACATTGTTTGCCGCATTTCTTTGTTATATTGTTCTTGATCCTAAGATCATAGATATAGATCTTTTCTATTATGTCATCAGAGCTGGTTAGCAAAACTATACTCTGAAATCCCTCTGTTTTTTAATTCTTTTGCTCGACTATGCCCACTCCCACAGAATCCATTATTCAACCTTAAAGCCAGCTCGTTAACATCAAACTTACATACTCAAATTACCTTATATGGAGGCAGCAAATTCTGGCAGCAGCAAGAGGTCATGGCCTTGAAGGTTATTTTCATGGTGACAACAGAGCTCCAAAAGAAAGAATCACCAATCCAAACAGCAATACCCCTCGAGAGAATCCATCTTATAGGTTATGGATCGAATAGGATCAACTCTTAACATTTTGGTTGTTGTCATCTTCGACTGAATCCATCCTCACCACCACTGCTGGACTCACCACTTCAAGGGATATCTGGTTAGCCCTTGAGTCTGCCTTCTCCAATAAAAATGCTAAGGTTATGCAGTATAAGCTTCAGCTGCAAACTACCAAGAAATGACGCTAACCCATGAAGGACTATTTGAACAACATCAAATCATGTTGTGACCTAATATCTACAGTAGGACAAAGGGTGAGTGAAGAGGATCAAGTGTCACACATCATTGATGGCCTTGGATATGATTACAATCTTGCAATAGTATCCATCCTGATATAGTCATATTATGATATACCGGTCCAAATGCTAACTGTTCGACTGAGATGATGAACCGAAACGTCAACATGTCGACATCTACAAGTCGACACCCATAAGTCGACCTCTCGACGGTCGATAGCTCGGCATGAGACATTTGAAGGCGAAAGCCGATTTGACCGAAGTCGATAATGTCAAGAGTCGATTTCCATAAGTCGGCCCCCAAAGTCGACTTCCACCCAGAAGACAAACAAGCGTAGCCTTCGAATATTCACATGATCTAAGTCGACCTCCCAGTGCTCGAGGTCGACTCTTAGCGCATCGAGGCCCAAAACATAATGACGACCCAATATCCCTATAATATCTCTTAAAGCCTCATATCCTCCAATGGATAAGAAGGAATCTTGTGATGACTAAGCAGAGAGGGGAGATGAACCGACCGGGGCATTCCGGACATTTCAAGTAAGTCGACCAGGGCATTTTTGGTACTTCAAATAAGTGTTTCCTCCTATATAAAGGAGGTGAGGTAACCCTAAACCCTAACTTCGATTTATTCCATACACTCTCATCTCCTGCTGCTGCTGCTCTCTCAAAGCAGCCTTCTTCTTCATCTCTTTCACATACTGACTTGAGCATCGGAGGCTCTACGCCGGAAACATTTCCGGCGTTGAGGTCGTGCAGGTGTTATTGCGGTGTAGCAACGGTTCGAAGGCGATTCAGACAGATCTGAACTCAAAACCACCGGTTCAATTCAGATCCAGAAGTAGACCCATCACATCCTATCAAGATCAGAACCAACCAAGCTAAGAGAGGTGCACTAATTGTTGTTAAGCTTTGAGAACATGCTGGAAATCTGTTGAAGCGAGTCATAATGAAGAAAATGGAAAATTTTAAGGGAATTATACAACACAAAACATGAGAGAATGATTCAAAAGAGGAATGAACAACCAACAGTCCAACAGTGGGAGAGTCAACAACAATGGTGGATGAAAGAGAAGAGAAGGACCCTTTAGAGGCAGATGAGGCAGGAATGGAAAACGTCCAAGGTGTCAAATTTGCCATTACAATTACCACACCACAGAAAGATGCTATTACAGGTGTTACTTTGAACTTTTCTCATGGCCAAAACTCTGGTGGCAACTACCAAGGCCAGAATAATGAAGGTTACTCCCAAGCAGACAGAACAATGAAGGTGCCAATAATTAAGGGGAGAAGACATTTGCGTTTTGGAAACTTACAGTATGGTAAAGATCTTATTAAATCATATCTTTTAGGTATGTATGCAAATAAGACAGGGACAGATCCAGAAAAATTTTGTAAGGGAGGCGGAGAACAATATAATTTTCAATAACGTCACACATTCATATAAAAGAAAAAATATGTACTTCCTAATTTTTCTATCAATTAGAGTTGTTTAATTTTCTCAAGTTACGAAACATATTAATAGTTACTTAAACTTATCGATTTGAAAATAAAGAAAAACGAAAAGAAAATATTATATTCGAATTTTCTATAAGCATAAATCAAAAAATTTCCACTATATTAAATTGTATTTTAAGTGCTCTATATATTAAAGTTACTCTTTGTATTAAGTTATATACAAGCGTATTTATAGAAGACTTACAAGTTATAATTATTATTATAATAATTATTTAACTATTACAAATAATTAGGATAGAACTCTACTAACAATCTTCTTTAAATTCTATATTTTTAGGTAGGAGTGTTAATTATCAAAACCTAAACTTATTTAACTAAATTAAGGATCAATATAAAAAGATAATTTTACATAAACTTAAGGAGTGTTAATTATCAAAACCTAAACTTATTTAACTAAATTAAGGATCAATATAAAAAGATAATTTTACATAAACTTAATTGAAAGAAAAATGTTGGGAGACAGTGGCCTCCATCAAACAACAAGTAGATCCGTCCATGAAATAGGATTTGGTTAGCCGTGAATACTCAAATATTTTACAAATCTTAGAGCTGTAAATTACCCTATATATATGCATTAAAAATGGTATTGGATAGTAGGCTGAAAATATTTTCTACATACTTTAGCAAATCTGAACGGACCAATAAAGACGCAATGTAGTTCTATTCTGTCGGCCCAAATTTATAGTACAGCAGGGCTTTTACTCCAATTTATAGTTTAGTTGGGCTTTAACTCAACCAACATGCAATACTGTACAGATCGCTCCAAAGCCATCAACAAATAGAAATCTAGTTTGGCCACTAAAAATCTTAGTAATTATAGAAAGCCCCTCAACAAACAACTCATCAGAATTTTGTAAATAAAATTCGAGCTACTATTTTCTCATCACTTCAGCCCTCGCCAAAGCCCTTGACGCCGCACGCCGTCGAGCCGCCGTCACCCCGTCTCCGTGAACGCCGTCGTAGGAAAAGTCATTGTCCTGCCAACCGCATATCAGTAATGTTTTCTTATATCGATAGCGTTTTAATTTTTGTTCGAACGGGAATTTTGCCCTAATTTTGTTTCGTTCTTTTTCGGGAGTAGGTTTTGTATTATTGGCGAAATTACGCCTATTTTTCATGATTTCTTCTTCAAATACTCTACTTGACGATAATGGTGGTTATGCATAGATTTCAATTTTCTTTGCAGTCCTGTAAATAGTGTGCCTTATCTTATTTTGAGTTTCGATTCGGTATGATTCATGGTGATGTGAAAGAAGCATTTGTATTCACTCTAAATTTGTCTTGTCTTATGAGTGGTTGGGGGTTGGCGCGAGACCATTTCTGGTAATTTAGTTCCTCGACTGCGTTTGGCTTGTTCACTGTCGTCAGGAGAGAAATTCAAGATGTAGATTTTAGTTACATGCGTGATCGACATTATCTGACGTTCTTGTTGCTTCCGTTCAAGTACAAATTTTCTATGAAAAGTTAATAATCAATTAATTGGGATTAGTTGTTTCTTATTTTAGGTTATGGAGTGTGGTCATTTTTTTTCGTGAAAAGATAAGAAAAGGAAAAAAAGAAAGAGACTGGAAGAGTATTTTTTAACCAATCTGGGTGGATTATATCATTTTTTGAGTCTAGACCTAGACAAGTGGAATAGGGTATTCAATATTGGAGATTGAAATATTGAACATCTTTGGTGAATTGAAATGTTGTTGGGATGTTAGGACTGCCCGAATATGGGAATTTGTGAACTTTTGGATTAACCGAGTATAATAGATTCTAGGGAAGTATTAATCTAAAGTTAATGTCCAGAATGTATACAAAGGCATGAGCGCTATAACACACATCCTTTAGGTTTGGGATATATGTCTTCGGAAAAATGCTTTCTTTTATGTAATGCCGTTACATAACTGCGTATAGTGTATAAGAAACATTGACATCAATTTGTTGATTTTTGTTTAATTAGCTCTTGCTTTCTTATGTGTGAATCTCCCCAGGCCGTAATAAAAAACATTAAAATATGGTTTTTATGGTTGTTTAGGCATGGCCATGAAATAAATTTGCTTAAAGTCCGAACTAATTGAATATTTGTATCAGAAATTTTGATTGGGGTCACCTAATGTATTTATGATAATGTGTCAGCATCTCATGAGGAGCAACTTAAAGAAACCCCTTTTTTGAGGACATAATGATATTCCTTGCTTAATCTGTTGCTGTAAATTTAGCATTCGGTCCCATAAATACATCCAAGCAGGATTTCACCTTCATTCTGAGGATTCATTTTAAGTCGAGCTAATACCTTCGATCAATTTGCATTTCTGAACTAGGGTGCTGCTTTTATGGTCAAGTAGCAAGTCAAATAAATAAGTATTTTCTTGTTTTAATTTTCTGTAGTGTTACTGTTTTGTTTCCATATTACGATTTTCCCACCATTATTTTTACTGGAAATTTATAACTGCCTATAAGTTGAACCGAGAGGCTTAATTTTACCTTCTTTGTATATTTTCAGACTCAGTGGTTGGAGCCATATGTATAATATTTACATGCATATGTACCACCTTGGATAAAATGATCTCATCTGCTTGTAAATCTTTTCTTTTACCACCTATGCTTTTGAATAATCATGCTTGATCATTTTGAGGATTCTGCTTTCTTTCCCCCTATAAGTGTGATTTAGTGTTCCACTATTTTCCCTCCATCCCCTTATTTTTTATCACTTTTCATTTACTCCCTCATTGATCTTGAGGTTTAATGTTTACATCTGTCAAGTTCTGTATACTGCTTTACTCACTTGTGATTTGAATATATTCTCCCATTGCACCTGTTGTTTTGTTAGGTTGATAAATATCTGTTTTCGATCCCCATTCACCTCTGGTAATTTGTTTTTATGACAGTTGTAGTAAGGCTGCTGATGGTGAAGGGTTTCTGAATATATCTTGTTTATTAAGGGACCTTCCAGCATTCTTTGTCTTGTACTGTTGGGAGATAGGAGTTCGAAATGGCTGGCTTGTTAGCTGGTGAGCCCTCCCTTCATGGAACACCTGAAGGAGTTCACAAGGTTTTCCACGAAAGGACAGAAGAAGGCAGTGGACGCTGGTATTTCTCTAGGAAGGAAATCGAAGAAAATTCCCCTTCTAGACAAGATGGCATTGATTTGAAGAAAGAGACCTACCTACGCAAGTCTTATTGCACATTCTTACAAGATTTAGGCATGAGGCTAAAAGTGTGAGTTAATTTTCTTGAAATTGCATATGCTTGCATATTTCAGCATCTGTCTCTGGGACATCGTGTTTCCTCATTTCTTTTGTTTCTTGCTAAGCTGAGGTTGTTTTCACTTTTCTCCGGCCGTAGAAGTTAGAAAATGTTAGCTCTGGGCCTCTTGTCTCTTTATTTGTGGTTTCCACTTTCCATCCTTTCTGTCTCGAGCCATTTTTTTTTTCGTTTTCCTAAAGCATATTCATTCATGTTATGCCGCAATGGTAACAATAACAATTTCCTATGTGAAGAGTGAAGTGAAGACATGCTGTGGTACAAGTCATTCACATATGAAATAGATTAACATGGACATGGTCTCATGGTTTGTTATGCATATAACTCAAATGCATGGAAACATTAGAGTATAATTGGTAAATAGTAGATATGTAGGTATATGAACTTTATGGTGCTTGTTGTTTTGAATCTATGATAATGTTATGTTGATTTTGACTCCAATTTTGCGCTTTTTGCATTCATCATTATTGTAAATGTTGACATTTGCATGTTAATACATTTCTGGATTTTTTTTTTTAATAATGCAGTCCGCAGGTAACGATAGCTACAGCAATCATATTTTGCCATCGGTTTTTTCTTCGCCAGTCTCATGTGAAAAATGAGCGTCGGGTGAGCCGAATTTTCGCTTTGTGAAGTTATTACTTAATAGCTGATAAGTATCCTGTAAGTGTTCTATGGACAATGACTGTGGTCATGCTTATGATAATAATTTTATGATATTTAATTTGCATATATGATGTTGTTGCTTTATCCATAAAGTTTTCGGCAACTGTATTGCTTTGCATGCTGTTTGTGGATGAATATGACTGAGGCATCATTTATTTAATGGCTTTCGTTATTTTGTATTCTGTAAACTACTCAAACATGAATTGAGCGCTTATAACCTCTTGTATTGAAATAACTTAGTTTTTAAAGGAAATCAGACAAATTAACCTAGATTTTTCAGAACTTGTATTGTCCAGTATGCATGTTCGTACCTAATAAGTTTCATTTTGAGATCAGAGAGGCGGATTTGGATGAGATTATAGACACGTCCTGTGTCTGGCTGTTTCCTGGTGTTCGCAGTTTTCTTCTGTGAAGGATAAATATTTTAAGAGCTTAACCTATTAAAACACTGGTCATTTGTGACCAATGCCATAAATAAAGAAATAAACTAGAATGATGAAATTCAGCAACATGTGGAGGAAAAACTAGATGTGTTATTTATTCTGAACAATAGGTGGCAATGGCACTGTTTTTTTCCTAAATAGTTGGCTTCTTTGACATGTACATATGATTGAATCTCTGACAGTCTGACTGGTATACCTTTGTTTGCGTACTTTCTACAGACCATTGCAACAGTATGCATGTTTCTCGCGGGTAAGGTTGAAGAAACTCCACGTCCTCTAAAAGATGTCATTCTTGTCTCATATGAAATCATACATAAGAAAGACCCTGCAGCTGTCCAAAGGATCAAACAGAAGGTTGTGTACTTTGTTCTTGTAGCTTTTTTGGTTTTACTTACCTTTTATGCTTCTTTACATTTTGTTTATTTGATTATATCTTTTTTTCCCTGTTGGATTCCACCCCGTCATTCAAGTGTCTTATTCTTTTGAATGATAGTTTGATGTTCTATTCTATATTCAGGAGGTATATGAACAGCAAAAGGAACTTATTCTGCTGGGAGAAAGGGTGGTTCTCGGTACACTCGGTTTTGACCTCAACGTGAACCACCCGTACAAACCCCTGGTCGAGGCAATAAAAAAATTTAAGGTTGCCCAAAACGCCCTAGCTCAAGTAGCATGGAATTTTGTGAACGATGGGTATGATGTCGTATTTTTTGAAAATATTTAGTGGTTATCCATGGCCGCCATTCTATCTTTTGATGCTAGAATGCTGCGGCTATACAGGCTCCGGACATCCTTATGCTTGCAGTTTAAGCCCCACCACATAGCGGCGGGTGCCATTTTCCTTGCCGCCAAATTCCTGAAGGTGAAGCTCCCGCATGAGGGTGAGAAGGTCTGGTGGCAGGAGTTTGACGTCACCCCCCGCCAGCTGGAGGGTGGGTGTCCCTTTTGCCTCCTTCCTTTGGTTGCTTTTACACTTGTGGTGTTGAATAAGTATACACCCAGCCAACATCATGATATATCATCATGTACTGAATTTAGATTTGCTTAATTTTCAATCTGAATCTCATTTTCTTGACCTGACCTCAAATTAGGAGATATAATAATAAATTGTACAAAGGAAGGAGAATAGGGGAATAATGGGCCAGAATGATGCAATTGATTGATTCACTTGCAGTACAAATCTTACGTGTTGATTTTTGTTCCAAAACGAAGAAAAACAAAAGAAAAAAAAATCATATAAACATTGGACCCTTTTGTTCCTTGCAGAGGTTAGCAACCAGATGTTGGAACTGTACGAACAAAACAAAGCGCCCCAGTCTCAAGCTGGCGAGGCTGAAGGCAGTGCTGGTGCCAGCGAAAGACCTCCTCCCTCGAAAAATGACGATCACGTCCCTAGCCAAAGCTCCTCCCACGGTGGCTCGACCGCGAAACAACATTCGTCGTTGAAGCCCGGACAACTTAGAACTGCCCCCGACCAGGCCCATGCCAGTAGTTACAACGGGCCCCCCAAGCCCGTCCAGGCCCGACACGACTTGGAGATCAACAGCACCACCGCGCCAGCTGGCAAGGAAGAAAACGAGGTTAACGACCAGCGGGAGGACGAGAAGGGTCGAGTTGAGAGGAGGGACGCTAGCAGCAATAGCAATAATAACCCACCAGTAGAAATGAAGGATAATAAATTCCAGGGAAAGACGTTTTCGCCCCAGGATGCGAACAAGAAGCTTGACAGGGAGAAGCTGAAAGCGGCCTTCGAGAGGAGGAAAGCACTCGGGGACATAACTCGCAAGGCAGATCCTGTGGATGAGCTTGAGCGGGAGCTGGAGGATGTTGAGGTCCCGAGCGACAAACGGGAGAGAAAGTCAAACTGGTCAAAGCCCCCGGTGAATAGGTCGGCAGAACTCGTTGGGGATGATTTTGATGCTGTTGAGGAGGGTGAAGTCGAACCGTTTGATGACAAGAGGGAGTATCAGTCGCCCAAGTCGAGTGTGAGGAAAAGGAAGCCCGGGAGCCCATTGGATAAGCCGTTGGCCCATAAACAGGCCCACTATCCAGAGGATAGGAATGGGCTAGGGAGGTATTCGGAAAGGGACCATAAGAGGCACCTGCAGGAAAACCATGTCTGAGAGAGTGATGTAGCTATGGATTTTGGTTGAGTTGGATTGTGGACTTGTGATGATGTGGCATATTTGGTATGGTTTGGGGTTAAGGAATTCAAGACGTGGGTGGGAGTGGTTTTTATCTGTATTGGTAGGGTGATTGATTGGTGAACTTGTCTACTTGTGGGGATTTAGGACATGGCTTGAGGATGATCCATGTATGGTGTAAAATTTGTCCTAGTGTTTATCGTTTGAGGAAAAAGGGAAACGAAAAATTATAAATGTGGAATTTAAGTGCGCAAGTGTATGGTGATTATCTAAGCTTTAGATTGAAGTTGTCTGAAAAAAAAAGGAAAGAAAAAAAAAGAAGAAAGGAAAAAAGGAGAAAAAAAAAAGAGTATGTTGGGTTGAGATGGAAGATGAAAATGCTGAACAGTTTTGCTGGGCTGTTTGGTCCATCATTTTAATGTGTTCGCTTTAACTTTTACTGAATTCGGGGCGTAACAGCCAATTCTCACAATCACTTGGTTTTTTTGAGGAATGCTTCTCTGATCAATTTCACCTCTAATGGTGATAATACATATGTGATTGCATCGTCTTTAGGGAGCCAGTGGATTT